GTTTGTATTTATTTGTGTCAATTTAAACTGAAGTCGAAAGTAAGTCGAATTGAGCTCATTAAAACAACAACTTCGACATCATTCCAGTATTAATTTTTCAAATCATCTCTTTGAATGTTTCAGGTCTAGCATTACAAGTTCATTACCAGCTCTCTTTCTGTCTCTCTCTCTACCTTTTCCTCCTTTTCTATCTCATTTCTTAAACATTCTAGTTTTTTTCTCTTATACTTTCTCCCTCCATCTCGATCTCCAACACACAGACATACGTCCGCACTAACATACACTTTCTTTGTCATGTGTCTTTCATTCACTTGGATTCTGAAATCTTATTTTTGTTAGATTACATTTTTGATTACGAGCTCTTTCCATATTACCTTTACACACAACTCTTTACTAATTATATATATATATATATATATATATATATATATATATATATATATAAGTCATACAACTACAACTCTATCTCGTTGACTAACATGCAGGTCTATAAATGACATTATTATCCAACATTACAATATAAAAAATGTTACAATCACAAAAATGCTATACCTTACAAATAAGATTATAAATATTAGAAGCACTTATAAAATAAACCAACAATAAATAAAATATCAGTCAACATAGGGCCAATATTTCATTTACATATATATAGCTATATTTCTGTTTACTTCTCATTCTTTGACATTCTTTAGATAGATAGATAGATAGATAGATAGATAGATAGATAGAGTTGTATATATATGTGTGTATATATGAGACCTCTATCTGTATATGCTGCATATTTTCAAGAATTCTGGCAACTTTTGCACATACTTTGTATGTATGTGCGCACGAATGCATGTAAATATGCCTAAGATAGAATGGTTCAAGCCCACTGTTAAGAAGCCAAACATATATTAGTAGTCACATAGAGCTACATATGCACAAATATTACACTTCATACGGATATCTCTAGTAGGTAGACGCATGCGTTCTCTTTATCAACTAAATCGCAGCGGCCGCCTTGTCGTCTGCCTTGTCATTTCAATGTTACAGACACTAGCAATAATAACAATGTACAGCTTACATTTTAATCTTTCCCCTTTACTCCCTTTAGCTTATTCCTACCTTTCTATCTTCCTTCTCTCTCTTTTTCCTACTTTATATCTCTGTCACTTTTTATGTTAATCGCCTTCTTTATATCTGTATTTAACTATAGTCTACAATTTTTCGTTCCGCCTTTTTTTCTTTTTTTCATGCAAGCGGGAGTCTTTATCGTTTTCTCTTTTCTTTTTTTTTTTTTAAATTTCTACCTTTTTATTTTTTTAATCGTCCTTTTTTTAATATCTTCTATTGTTAACGGCTCAGCTCTTTTTTATTTTGTTTTACATTTTGGAGAAATGTTCGTATTTTTCTTTGTTTCTTCGTATTCTTGATATTGTTGTGGGCTTTTGCTATGCTTATTTTTTGCGCGTTTTTTTTTTTTTTTTTTTTACTTTTTTATTTAGCAATTTCTTTTCGCTTCTTTTCTGTTTTCCCTCTTTTAGGTTAACCCTACAATTACGGCAGGCGTCTGCCTTGAGGTGAGAGATTTAAAACAAAAATGGGGAGAGGAGTGTGTTGAAGGAGGTTATTCGAATAACTGCAACAATACATGAAAAGTTGCACGTTTTATGAAGATAGATAGATAGATAGATAGATAGATAGATAGATAGATAGATAGATAGATAGATAGATTGATTTATGATTTTACTTTTAATTTTTGTCACTTTTCAAACAGTTTCTGTTTGTGTATAGATGAGTTAAAATTTCTCCAATCCAACAAGGATGTAACCTCAAAAACTTTTGAAAATCTGTCCATTGCTATATCAATTAGTTCAAAGTACAGATATAAATGTTTGTTCATTTGGAAAAGTCTATGATATAAATAAAGAAATTATGTGATATATATTTCTTAATATGATCTCTTATCAACGTGAAAAAAAAACATACTAGAGTATAACACTTTTATATAACCAAACTTTATTTTCAAATGCACCATGCGATAACATTTGTGAACGGAAAAATAATTCTCTCTACTTGATAAATATTGTGATTTTATTTAGATGAAACCTAAATCAGAAGACTATTTTAAATTTTTAAAAAATGGGTTGTTATAATAATAGTAAACCAAAGAATTGTTCGTAGTTGTGTTTTACAAATTGGCGGTTTAAGCAAGATTTATGCAAATGACATCTTAATAAAATCCCTCAAGTCATTTGCAAGAGTTAAAATAATAATAATAGAATAAGTGGATTTTGTATGATTTGAATTTTATCAAATCCTACATAATCCACTTATTTTTTTTTTTTTTTTTTTTTTTACTAGAATAGAATAATGCTTATATAGTGAAATGATAGGGATTTATTTATCTATGACGTTATTTTTGTATAAAGGAAGTTGTCACACAAATTTTATGTAGTCACTTTTACTGCAGATTAAGTGACAGTAAGTCAATTCCCATCAGTATTTTCTAATGCGCTTTTCTGCTTTGGAAGAGTTAACCGTTTGAATATGTAATTCCTACAGAATATTTCTGCTGCATTCCCCTATTATACGGTTGACAGTCTCCTCCCTCTCTCTCTGCACAGTGTTCATTTACTGTGTTGCAGTGTCATCTCCATCTTGAGTGAATTGTTTTCAGATGTTATTAAAGAAGGTATTTGGCTTTTCAAATATCCTCAAATGTTTTAATGATGTCTATAATCTCGTTTGTAATTCTTTTTTTTAAATACCCCCAAAACACCATTTTCGTCTTTTCTCGTTCGGAAATTTTCTCATTCGATATCTGTTCTGTTGTCAGTTCTGGTACAAGTTTTAACTGTTATTATCAAATGCTTTGTTAATCTGACTAACTTCTGTTAGTCAGATTAACAAAGCATTTGATAATTCTTTCAATTCCTTTGCTGTCTTTGTCCTCTTTTCTTTTCACTTCTGGTTTATCTTCGTTCTTAATAGGCTTCACCTATGACAATTTTGCTCACTTATTCTCCTGTATAGAAAAGGAACCGAATGTTCTACTAAATACATTATTTATGTATTTATGTTGGATCTTTTCAAAATCTTCTTCATTTTTTTACGTTTTAAGGATTTTGTTTATTCCATTGCTACTCATTAACTATACGAAAAAAATATTTTACCTGTTTTTAATTAACCGCTCAATTATTCTTCATATTAGTTATAACAAAAATGCATTCAACAGTTAGTTTGGAATAATTATGGTTCTCCACTACTTCCCGAAAGACGCCTCCCAACATTCGCAAATCGTTCTATGGCAGGCAACTTGACCTTAGAATTTAGTCATTTTTGCAAAACGAACTTCCACAAAAACTGTTTATATTTTTACCCTTTGGTAAAGATCAAACTTGTCATTGTATTGAATTTTAAAAATTAAAAAGCTTTCTTGAAGCTTCCATTTTAACTTTAATTGAAAGCTAAAGAATTAAAATATTGGAAAATATTGTCCGTAATATAATTTTAGGAATGTTGACTTTTTAACTTACTATAGTTATCGATCTTATTTTCTGATAATGCCGTATATGTCCACCCATACTTTTAAAATGGGTACGTTTATATACATAAAAACAATTAAAAATTATTTTAAAAATCTTAGTCCGTGATGATTTATTTTAAGCTTTTTAATTTTTGATTATTAAATATAGTTTTCACTTAATAACTGAACGCGAAGTTTTACAGAAAAAAGATTTGAAATGAAAAAAATTCTTGCAAAAATTCATTATTCAAAAAAATATTTTTCTTAAAGTTATAATGTCCTTAATATATATTATTTATAAAAGCAATTAAAAGCTTATCTAATTAAATAATGTCATAGTCTTATTGCATTTTTTTATTTTATTATTCGGAGCAGATTTTCAGGAAGACAGTAACTGTTTGGAAAAAAATGAAAGATTTACATTCGCCAAGGCTTTTAACTAATAAAATAAAGTTTGATCAGATTTAATTTCTCGAAATTTCATTAAATTAAATGGTGGATAACAGATGTAAAAAAAAAAAATTTACATCTTCTAAAATTAATAATTTAAAAAATAATTTAATTCATTTGTGAATAAGTCCTGACAATTATTTTATTTTTACAAGAATTTCCACATTAATGTGTTATTTTACCGGAAAAAAGGCGCTAAAATTTTCATAGTCAGTTTTGTTACACCACTGACGCAAAAAAAGATTTTTAACCAATATTTCGAACGTGGTAGAAAGGATTAAAAATATAATAAAATTTTAAAAAATTCTTTGGTCTTTCCTCTTAATACAAACAAACATACATACCAAATAGTACTAGTTTTAAAGTGATGTTGAAGTATGTGTTAGGATAAGTAATTTTATATGGGCAAATTCCCTGAAATTTTGGGTAGCTCTTCGTAAATATAGTCAGATAGAAAATTCTTATTAATATTTAAATAAGCTTTTCAAAGTCAAGTAGAAATCTAAAACGTTGGGGAAAATGCATTAACTATTAAGTTTTTTTTTCTTCTTTTTTTTATCCAGGAATATTTTAGACGTCATTGTTCTATGTAACGCAATGAAATTAATCTTTGCGAAAGGTGCCACATATTCAATTAATGGTGACCAAAACCTTTGTATTTGCCTATTTTTTGTGAGATGTGAAGAGAAGATTATTTGTTGCCTTTCAATAAGAAGTCTTCTCGCATGGTTTCAATGTCAGTTGTTTGGCGGGAAAAGAAATGACTCGATTGCGACATGATGTTTTCACATTAGAAACTTGTATCTGGTCAACATCTCTTCGCGTTCCCAATGAGAAGGCACGGTGAGGGGGTGTGATGGAGAGAACATTATCAGATTCATGCGAATAACTTTCCTGGTTTCCCGACCAGCCTCACTAACTACCCTCGGCCCAGTACTCCCGGACGCCATATCGATATCCATTTTTATAGCCTGCTGACCACATGACCTCGTTTGCAATTTGTCACCGTGGCGTCTGCGCTTCTGCTTGACGTCTGATGGAGCGGCCGAAAACTTCCATCACCATTCTTCCCCACATAAACTCCACATCTCTTACCTTTCCTGGGACTTCCCGTCCGAGAATCGACGATCATCCAGCTGTTGACCAACACCTCCCCACAATGACCACTTCTCTACTCAAACCTGACACCCCTTCTTTTGCATCCCTACTCCACTTCGTTTTGCCTTCCCACCACATTTCACACCCACCCACACGACCTTACACGTTGACTTTTGCTTCTCGTTGATTGGTTAGTTGGTTTATGTTCGCCCATTAGAAACAAGTCGAAATGAACGCATTACATCGCCTCGTTGATCTCATGTTTTTCTCTTCAGGTGACTGCGCGCAGGAGGCCGCCATTATTCCTGGAAACAGCAAAAATTTTCTGATTATACAACTCTCTGTCTGTCTATCTCGTTCCCTCTCTTTCTTTCTCCACCTTTCCTTTCATGTTTTAAACAGAAGACTTTTATAAACAGCAACTATCACAGTTCTTGTTTGAATTTTGTTAGTCGTCGTAGTTTAAATAGTTTATGTCGATTGGTTTGGACGTATATTTTTGTTGTTTTTGTTTGACTTTTGCACAAACTCTCTGGCCTACCTAGAAATCGAGGAAATTAATACGAACCAACTTACATAGTAATAAAATTATTATGAATTATCACATGCAAAATACTAAAACTTCAAATATACACATACATATGTCTACCAACGCATGTACACTAGTCGCACATTTTTTTTGTACATAAAAGCATAAAAACATATATATATATATATATATATATATATATATATATATATATATATATATATATATATATATATACATAAAAAAGCACAAAAATCATATATAGAGAGACATTTATTTATGTACATGATGTCCATTATAAAATACATCTTCAACTCAATGGAAAATTACAAGCAAAATTTTCACTAGAGGCAAGCGTTCATTACAATGGTCCTAATCTTATTTCAACCTCGTCAAATAAGGTTAAGCTCTCCGCCATGTACTTTACCTCTAAGCCCAACGTTAGAAAACAATGGCGATCTCCTACCTGATTTCCCCACAAACCTTCTGATATTTCTATCTCGATTCGAGAGGTTTCCAGGCTTATCAAAAGCCTTGATTCAACGAAGACTTCAGGTCTGAATAAAATTCCTGTAGCTGTTGGAACCCTAGCCCAGAGCTATCCGCAAATTTGTCAAAATTATTTTAACTGTTACCTGTAGGAGTAAATGTTTCCCATGTCTATGGAAGGAATCCACTGTATACATTGTTTACAATAATTCAGATGAGTGATTATCCCCTTCAGTCTCCTTAGTGCCATCAGCCAACTTCTTGAGTCTATTATCAACAAGATATTTGTTGATCACCTCAAACAAAACAACTTCTTGGGCGACAAACAATATGGATTTCGCTTCTCTATATCCACTGCTGATGTTCTGCCATTAAGCACAAAATCAATGAAAAGCTCAATAATAAATTTATCACGAGAAAGATCGCCTTTGATATCTCAAAGCCATTGATAAAGTGTGGCGTAGGGGGGTGCTACACAAGCAAGCTGTGAATCTCAGAAGATTCTTCTCAATTATCAAAGTCCTTCCCACGAAGGTCGTCGTTAATAGCTAGTCATCTAAAGACCATGAGAGAATGCAGACGTCTCCCAAGGCTCTCTCTTCAGTCCTATCCTCTTTCTGCTTAATATTGATGATCTACCTGAGAACATTCTCAGATCATTAGTAAATATGTATGCAGGTGATGTATGCAGGTGATACCATGGATTATGGGTGCACCTCCAATAATCTAGAAGACCAGAGCTTGGCAGCTAACCTCTCCTTTGGCCCAGATTGAACATCTGAATGACAAAAAATTGTCTTCTAACATCCAATACCTCCAAAACAAAGCTAGTAACATTTGACCATCTCCGAGCTATCCCTGGATTTTCTCCTGCCATGATGAACACTTGTACTCTCGATAAGGGTCTTTTGCCTTGAACGTTCATTGGGACTCAATCTTACTTCGGATCTCAAGCGGAACGATCCATTTCTAAAGATGCTGAGAAAATAGTCGCATCCTTGTACCGCTACAAGAAGTAACCTGACTACTTCTCCTCTTCCCTGTTATGCTCTATATTTACAAGAGGCAAATCAGACTCAAAATGGAGAATTCCTGATTTTATGGCCTTGACAGTGTTCCAAAGCGTTTACGTCGCGTTGTAGGAAAATTCATCAAAGTTTTTTTTCCCACCCTACAACTCCTTCCCCCCTGAGGCAAAACGTTGCTAGGTTTTTGCGATTCCATCACTATTTCCATGGCAGATATTCAGACGAATTACGTTCCTTAATTCTATCAGTTCAAACTTTCACTGCTAAAACCCACCAGGCTCGACTCCTCCTCATTCATTCTGTATTCCATTAATAAGGAGCTTTACTTCCTCCTTTTAGGCCCTTACAGCAACCTCATTCAGTAACTCTACTTTGAGTTGCTCTTGTGCCTTATATTGGCTGAAAAATAGTATAAAAACGATTTGTATAATACAATTGGAAGTTAAACGAAAAAATTCACATCAAGTGAAAAATAGTAAAAAAGTTCAATATTCTGGTGAGCATAAATACACCAGATATATAATCTCTCTCTCTCTCTCTCTCACTCATTCTCTATCCCTCTCTCTCTCTCACACACATTCTCTATCTCACTCTCTCTCTCTCTCATTCATTCTCTCTCTCTCTCACTCATTCTCTATCTCACTCTCTCTCTCCACTCATCCTCTATCTCCATCTCTCTCACTCATTCTCTCTCTCTCTCACACTCATTCTCTATCTCCTCTCTCTCTCTCTTTCTCTCTCTCTCACTCTCTCTCTCTCTCTCTCCTCTCTCTCTCTCTCTCTCTCCACTCTCTCATTCTCTATCTCATTCTCTCTCTCTCACTCTTCTCTCTCTCTCTCACTCTCCTCTATCTCTCTCTCTCTCTCACTCATTCTCTCTCTCTCTCTCACCTCATTCTCTATCTCTCTCTGTCTCCGTCATTCTCTATCTCTCTCTCTCCTCTCTCTCTCTCTCTCTCTCTTTCTCTCTCTCTCTCTCTCTCCTCATTCTCTGATCTCTCTCTCTCTCTCACACTCATTCTCTATCTCCTCTCTCTCTCTCACTCATTCTCTCTGTCTCTCACACTCATTCTCTATCTCACTCTCTCTCTCTCTCACACTCATTCTCTATCTCACTCTCTCTCTCTCACACTCATTCTCTCTCTCTCTCTCACACTCATTCTCTATCTCACTCTCTCTCTCTCACACTCATTCTCTCTCTCACTCTCTCTCTCACACTCATTCTCTCTCTCTCTCTCTCTCTCTCTCTCTCTCTCTCATAAACGCATATAGATATATATATTCCTATATATACTCCAATGTATGTTGGTTGTTAAATTTGTAGACTAGGTTGTGGAATATAGCGCCACAGTTACAACGGCTTGGTGTTGCTGCAGTGGTCTCAGTAAAAAGAAGGTTACGGGGAGAATTTGCCAGCATCATACACAGCATGATTTGAATTAAGAGTACTACTTCTTAAATTGATGGCAACTAAAACTAAACACCTCAGATTAATTTGCTATTAATTCCGAATTGGGGGAAGTCGGGTGAGAAGAGTGAGAATCATACGAAATTCCGAATTGGGGGAAGTCGGGGAAGAAGAGTGAGAATCATACGAAATTCGAATTGGGGAAGTCGGGGAGAAGAGTGAGAATCATACGAAATTCCGAATTGGGGGAAGTCGGGAAGAAGAGTGAGAATCATACGAAATTCCGAATTGGGGGAAGTCGGGGAAGAAGAGTGAGAATCATACGAAATTCCGAATTGGGGGAAGTCGGGGAAGAAGAGTGAGAATCATACGAAATTCCGAATTGGGGGAAGTCGGGGAAGAAGAGTGAGAATCATACGAAATTGAATTGGGGAAGTCGGGAAGAAGAGTGAGAATCATACGAAATCTGAATTGGGGGAATCATCGGGGAAGAAGAGAGTGAGAATCATACGAAATTCCGAATTGGGGAAAGTCGGGGAAGAAGAGGAGAATCATACGAAATTCCGAATTGGGGAAGTCGAAGAAGAGGAGAATCATACGAAATTCGAATTGGGGGAAGTCGGGAAGAAGAGGAGAATCATACGAAATTCCGAATTGGGGAAGTCGGGGAAGAAGAGGAGAATCATACGAAATTCCGAATTGGGGGAAGTCGGGGAAGAAGAGGAGAATCACACGAAATTCCGAATTGGGGGAAGTCGGGGAAGAAGAGGAGAATCATACGAAATCTGAATTGGGGAAGTCGGGTGAAGAAGAATCATACGAAATGAGAATCATACGAAATGCCGAATTGGGGAAGTCGGGTGTGAAGAGTGAGAATCATACGAAATTCGAATTGGGGGAAGTCGAATTGGGGGAGAAGAGAAGAGAATCATACGAAATTCCGAATTGGGGGAAGTCGGGGAAGAGAGAATCATACGAAATTCGAATTGGGGAAGTCGGGGAAGAAGAGTGAGAATCACACGAAATTCCGAATTGGGGAAGTCGGGAGAAGAGTGAGAATCACACGAAAATTCCAATTGGGGGAAGTCGGGTGAGAAGAGGAGAATCATACGAAATTCCCAATTGGGGGGAAGTCGGGGAAGAAGAGTGAGAATCATACGAAATTCCGAATTGGGGGAAGTCGGGGAAGAAGAGGAGAATCATACGAAATCTGAATTGGGGGAAGTCGGGTGAGAAGAGGAGAATCATACGAAATCTGAATTGGGGAAGTCGGGGGAAGAAGAGGAGAATCATACGAAATCTGAATTGGGGGAAGTCAAAGAAGAGTGAGAATCATACGAAATCCGAATTGGGGGAAGTCGGGAAGGAGGAGAAGTGATCATACGAAATTCCGAATTGGGGGAAGTCGGGGAAGAAGAGAGAATCATAAATCTGAATTGGGGAAGTCGGGGAAGAGTGAGAAGAATACGAAATCTGAATTGGGGAAGTCGGAAGAAGGAGAATCATACGAAATTCCCAATTGGGGGAAGTCGGTGTGAAGAGTGAGAATCATACGAAATTCCGAATTGGGGGAAGTCGGGTGAGAAGAGGAGAATCATACGAAATCTGAATTGGGGGAAGTCGGGTGAGAAGAGGAGAATCACACGAAATTCCCAATTGGGGGAAGTCGTGGTGAGAAGAGTGAGAATCATACGAAATTCCGAATTGGGGGAAGTCGGGTGAGAAGAGTGAGAATCATACGAAATTCCGAATTGGGGGAAGTCGGGTGTGAAGAGTGAGAATCATACGAAATTCCCAATTGGGGGAAGTCGTGGTGAGAAGAGTGAGAATCATACGAAATTCCGAATTGGGGGAAGTCGGGTGAGAAGAGTGAGAATCATACGAAATCCGGATTGGGTGAAGTCGGGTGAGAAGAGTGAGAATCATACGAAATTCCCAAATTGGGGAAGTCGGGTGAGAAGAGTGAGAATCATACAAAATTCCGAATTGGGGAAGTCGGGAAGAAGAGTGAGAATCATACGAAATTCCGAATTGGGGGAAGTCGGGGAAGAAGAGTGAGAATCATACGAAATTCCGAATTGGGGGAAGTCGGGGAAGAAGAGTGAGAATCATACGAAATTCCGAATTGGGGGAAGTCGGGTGAGAAGAGTGAGAATCATACGAAATTCCGAATTGGGGGAAGTCGGGGAAGAAGAGTGAGAATCATACGAAATTCCGAATTGGGGGAAGTCGGGGAAGAAGAGTGAGAATCATACGAAATTCCGAATTGGGGGAAGTCGGGTGAGAAGAGTGAGAATCATACGAAATTCCGAATTAAGGGGGGGAAGTCAGGAAATTCCCAATTGAAGAGTGAGAATCATACGAAATTCCGAATTGGGGGAAGTCAGTGAGAAGAGTGAGAATCATACGAAATTCGAATTGGGGAAGTCGGGGAAGAAGAGGAGAATCATACGAAATTCCGAATTGGGGAAGTCGGGTGAGAAGAGTGAGAATCATACGAAATTCCGAATTGGGGGAAGTCGGTGAGAAGAGGAGAATCATACGAAATTCCGAATTGGGGAAGTCGTGGAAGAAGAGTGAGAATCATACGAAATTCGAATTGGGGGAAGTCGGGTGAAGAGGAGAATCATACGAAATTCCGAATTGGGGGAAGTCGGGTGAGAAGAGAGAATCATACGAAATTCCGAGTTGGGGGAAGTCGGGAGAAGAGTGAGAATCATACGAAATTCGAATTGGGGGAAGTCAAGGAAGAAGAGTGAGAATCATACGAAATTCCGAATTGGGGAAGTCGGGGAAGAAGAGTGAGAATCATACGAAATTCTGAATTGGGGGGAAGTCGGGAAGAAGAGTGAGAATCATACGAAATTCCGAATTGGGGAAGTCGGTGAAGAAGAGTGAGAATCATACGAAATCTGAATTGGGGGGAAGTCGGGTGAGAAGAGGAGAATCATACGAAATCCGAATTGGGGAAGTCGGGGAAGAAGAGTGAGAATCATACGAAATTCCGAATTGGGGGAAGTCGGGGAAGAAGAGTGAGAATCATACGAAATTCCGAATTGGGGGAAGTCGGGTGAGAAGAGTGAGAATCATACGAAATTCCGAATTGGGGGAAGTCATAGGAAGAAGGAGAATCATACGAAATTCCCAATTGGGGGGTCGGGGAAAGAGTGAGAATCATACGAAATCTGAAGAAGAAGAATCATACGAAATCTGAATTGGGGAAGTCGGGGAAGAAGAGGAGAATCATACGAAATTCCGAATTGGGGGAAGCCGAGTGAAGAGGAGAATCATACGAAATTCCGAATTGGGGGAAGTCGGGGAAGAAGAGTGAGAATCATACGAAATTCCGAATTGGGGAAGTCGGGTGAGAAGAGGAGAATCATACGAAATTCCGAATTGGGGGGAAGTCGGGTGAAGAAGAGGAGAATCACACGAAATTCCCAATTGGGGGAAGTCGGGGGAGAAGAGGAGAATCATACGAAATCCGAATTGGGGGAAGTCGGGGTGAGAAGAGGAGAATCATACGAAATCCGAATTGGGGGAAGTCGGGTGAAGAGTGAGAATCATACGAAATTCCGAATTGGGGAAGTCGGGTGAGAAGAGTGAGAATCACACGAAATTCCGAATTGGGGAAGTCGGTGAAGAGGAGAATCACATTGAAATCTAATTAGAGAAGAGAAGAGAATCATACGAAATCTGAATTGAGGGGAAGTCGGGGTGAGAAGAGGAGAATCATACGAAATCTGAATTGGGGAAGTCGGTGAAAGAGGAGAATCATACGAAATCAATTGGGGAAGTCGCGGTGAGAAGAGAGAATCATACGAAATTCCGAATTGGGGAAGAAGAGGAGAATCATACGAAATTCCGAATGAAGAAGAGTGAGAATCATACGAAATTCCGAATTGGGGAAGTCGGGGAAAGAGTGAGAATCATACGAAATTCTGAATTGGGGGAAGTCAGGTGAAGAGAGGAGAATCATACGAAATTCTGAATTGGGGGAAGTCGGGAAGAAGAGTGAGAATCATACGAAATTCGAATTGGGGGAAGTCGGGTGAGAAGAGGAGAATCATACGAAATTCCGAATTGGGGGAAGTCGGGTGAAGAAGAGAATCATACGAAATCGAATTGGGGGAAGTCGGTGAGAAGAGTGAGAATCATACGAAATCCGAATTGGGGAAGGAAGTCATACGAAATTCCGAAGAAGAGGAGAATCATACGAAATTCTGAATTGGGGGAAGTCGGGGAAGAAGAGTGAGAATCATACGAAATTCCGAATTGGGGGAAGTCGGGGAAGAAGAGGAGAATCATACGAAATCTGAATTGGGGGAAGTCGGGGAGAAGAGTGAGAATCATACGAAATTCCGAATTGGGGGAAGTCGGGGAAGAAGAGGAGAATCATACGAAATTCCGAATTGGGGGAAGTCGGGGGTGAAAGAGGAGAATCATACGAAATCTGAATTGGGGGGAAGTCGGGTGAAGAAGGAGAATCATACGAAATTCCGAATTGGGGGAAGTCGGGTGAGAAGAGTGAGAATCATACGAAATTCTGAATTGGGGGAAGTCGGGGAAGAAGAGAGAATCATACGAAATCTGAATTCCGAATTGGGGGAAGTGGAAGAATCAAATCCGAATTGGGGAAGTCGGGGAAGAAGAGAGAATCATGAATTCTGAATTGGGGAAGTCGGGGAGAAGAGGAGAATCATACGAAATCTGAATTGGGGGAAGTCGGGGAAGAAGAGGAGAATCATACGAAATTCCGAATTGGGGGAAGTCGGGGAAGAAGAGGAGAATCATACGAAATCTGAATTGGGGGAAGTCGGGTGAGAAGAGGAGAATCATACGAAATCTCCGAATTGGGGGAAGTCGGGGAAGAAGAGGAGAATCATACGAAATCTGAATTGGGGGAAGTCGGGGAAGAAGAGTGAGAATCATACGAAATCTGAATTGGGGAAGTCAAGAGAAGAAGAGAGAATCATACGAAATTCTTGAATTCGGGGAAGAGAATCATACGAAATTCCGAATTGGGGAAGTCAAGAATCAAGAGAAAATCATAAATTCTGAATTGGGGAAGTCGGGGAAGAAGAGGAGAATCATACGAAATCTGAATTGGGGAAGTCGGGGAAGAAGAGAATCATACGAAATTCCGAATTGGGGGAAGTCGGGGAAGAAGAGGAGAATCATACGAAATCTGAATTGGGGAAGTCGGGAAGAGGAGAATCATACGAAATTCCAATTGGGGGAAGTCGGGGAAGAAGAGAGAATCATACGAAATCTGAATTGGGGAAGTCGGGGAAGAAGAGGAGAATCATACGAAATTCCGAATTGGGGAAGTCGAAGAAGAGGAGAATCATACGAAATCTGAATTGGGGAAGTCAGAGAAGGAGAATCATACGAAATTCCGAATTGGGGAAGTCGGGGGAGAAGAATGAGAATCAATTGGGGAAATTCCGAATTGGGGAAGTCGAATTGGGGAAGAAGAGGAGAATCATACGAAATTCGAATTGGGGGAAGTCGGGGAGAAGAGGGAGAATCATACGAAATTCTGAATTGGGGGAAGAATCATACGAGAAGAGGAGAATCATACGAAATCTCCGAATTGGGGGAAGTCGGGAAGAAGAGGAGAATCATACGAAATCTGAATTGGGGAAGTCGGGGAAGAAGAGGAGAATCATACGAAATCTGAATTGGGGGAAGTCGGAATTGGGGAGAAGAGTGAGAATCATACGAAATTCCGAATTGGGGGAAGTCGGGGAAGAAGAGTGAGAATCATACGAAATTCCGAATTGGGGGAAGTCGGGGAGAAGAGTGAGAATCATACGAAATTCCGAATTGGGGAAGTCGGGGAGAAGAGTGAGAATCATACGAAATTCCGAATTGGGGAAGTCGGGGAGAAGAGGAGAATCATACGAAATTCTGAATTGGGGGAAGTCGGGGGAGAAGAGGAGAATCATACGAAATTCCGAATTGGGGGGAAGTCAGGGAGAAGAGGAGAATCATACGAAATTCTGAATTGGGGGAAGTCGGGGAGAAGAGGAGAATCATACGAAATTCCGAATTTGGGGAAGTCGGGGAGAAGAGTGAGAATCATACGAAATTCCGAATTGGGGAAGTCGGGGAGAAGAGTGAGAATCATTCTAAATTCCGAATTGGGGGAAGTCGAAGAAGTGAGAATCATACGAAATTCGAATTGGGGGAAGTCGGGGGAAGAAGAGAGAATCATACGAAATTCGAATTGGGGGAAGAAGAAGGGTTAGAACTACACGAAATCCGAATCGAAGAGGAGAATCATACGAAATCCCAATTGGGGGAAGTCGAAGAAGAAGAGGAGAATCATAAATCGAAATCGGGGAAGAAGAGAGAATCATACGAAATCTGGGGGGGGAAGTCGGGGAAGAAGAGGAGAATCATACGAAATCCGAATTGGGGAAGTCAGGGAAGAAGAGGTGAGAGAATCATACGAAATTCCGAATTGGGGGAAGTCGGGGTGAGAAGAGGAGAATCATACGAAATTCCCAATTGGGGGAAGTCGGGGAGAAGAGGAGAATCATACGAAATCTGAATTGGGGAAGTCGGGTGAGAAGAGGAGAATCATACGAAATTCCGAATTGGGGAAGTCGGGGAGAAGAGGAGAATCATACGAAATTCCGAATTGGGGAAGCTTGGAAGAAGAGTGAGAATCATACTAAATTCTGAATTGGGGAAGTCGGGTGAGAAGAGGAGAATCATACGAAATTCCGAATTGGGGGAAGTCGGGGTGAGAAGAGGAGAATCATACGAAATTCCGAATTGGGGAAGTCAGGGAAGAAGGAGAATCATACGAAATTCCGAATTGGGGAAGTCGGGGAGAGATACATGAGAATCATACGAAATCCGAATTGGGGGAAGTCGGGAGAAGAAGTGAGAATCATACGAAATTTCGGAAGAAGGGAGAAGTCGGGGAAGAAGAGAGAGAATCATACGAAATCTGAATTGGGGGAAGTCGGGAAGAAGAGAAGAATCATACGAAATTCCCAATTGGGGAAAGTCGGGAAGAAGAGTGAGAATCATACGAAATCTGAATTGGGGGGAAGTCGGGGAAGAAGAGGAGAATCATACGAAATTCGAATTGGGGGAAGTCGGGGAAGAAGAGAAGAATCATACGAAATTCCGAATTGGGGAAGTCGGGGAAGAAGAGGAGAATCATACGAAATCTGAATTGGGGAAGTCGGGTGAAGAGGAGAATCATACGAAATCTGAATTGGGGAAGTCGGGGAAGAAGAGTGAGAATCATACGAAATTCCGAATTGGGGGGGAGAAGAGGAGAATCATACGAAATTCCGAATTGGGGGAAGTCGGTGAGAAAGAGGAGAATCACACGAAATTCCGAATTGGGGGAAGTCGGGGAAGAAGAGAAGAGAATCATAATGAAATTCCCAATTGGGGAAGTCGGGGAGAAGAGTGAGAATCATACGAAATTCCGAATTGGGGGAAGTCGGGGAGAAGAGGAGAATCATACAAATTCCCAATTGGGGAAGTCGGGGAAGAAGAGGAGAATCATACGAAATTCCGAATTGGGGAAGTCGGGAAGAAGAGGAGAATCATACGAAATCTGAATTGGGGGGAAGTCGGGAAGAAGAGGAGAATCATACGAAATTCCGAATTGGGGAAGTCGGGTGAAGAAGAGGAGAATCATACGAAATTCGAATTGGGGGGAAGTCGTGGGAAGAAGAGAGAATCATACGAAATCCGAATTGGGGGAAGTCAGAAGAAGAGTGAGAATCATACGAAATTCGAATTGGGGAAGGGAAGAAGAGAGAGAATCATAAATAATCTGAATTGGGGAAGAAAAGAAGAGTGAGAATCATACGAAATCTGAAATTGGGGAAGTCGGGGAGAAGAAGAATCATACGAAATTCCGAATTGTCGGGGAAGAAGAGGAGAATCATACGAAATCCAAATTGGGGGAAGTCGGGGAGAAGAGGAGAATCATACGAAATCTGAATTGGGGGAAGTCAGGGAAGAAGAGGAGAATCACACGAAATCTGAATTGGGGAAGTCGGGGAAGAAGAGGAGAATCATACGAAATCTGAATTGGGGGAAGTCGGGAAGAAGAGTGAGAATCATACGAAATCTGAATTGGGGAAGTCGGGGAGAAGAGGAGAATCATACGAAATCTGGAATTGGGGGAAGTCGGGGAAGAAGAGGAGAATCATACGAAATTCCGAATTGGGGAAGTCGGGGAAGAAGAGTGAGAATCATACGAAATTCCGAATTGGGGGAAGTCGGGAAGAAGAGGAGAATCACACGAAATTCCGAATTGGGGGAAGTCGGGGAAGAAGAGGAGAATCATACGAAATTCCGAATTGGGGGAAGTCGGGTGAGAAGAGGAGAATCATACGAAATTCCGAATTGGGGGAAGTCGGGTGAAGAAGTGAGAATCATACGAAATTCCCAATTGGGGAAGTCAAGAGAAGAGTGAGAATCATACGAAATTCCGAATTGGGGGGGAAGTCGCGGAGAAGAGTGAGAATCATACGAAATTCCGAATTGGGGGAAGTCGGGGAAGAAGAGAATCATACGAAATTCCGAATTGGGGAAGTCGAGTGAAGAAGAGGAGAATCATACGAAATTCCGAATTGGGGAAGTCGGGAGAAGAAGTGAGAGACATAACGAAATTCCGAATTGGGGAAGTCGGGGAAGAAGAGGAGAATCAGAGAGAAATTCCCAATTGGGGAAAGTCGGGGAAGAAGAGAGAATCATACGAAAAAGAGAATTGGGGGGAAGTCGGGGAAGAAGAGTGAGAATCATACGAAATCTGAATTGAAGTCGGGAAGAAGAGTTAGAATCATACGAAATTCCGAATTGGGGGAAGTCGGGTGAGAAGAGGAGAATATACGAAATCTGAATTGGGGAAGTCGGGGAAGAAGAGTGAGAATCATACGAAATTCCCAATTGGGGGAAGTTGAGGGAGAATAACCGAATTGGAAAGAGAGAGAGAGAATCATACGAAATTCCGAATTGGGGGACATAAAGAAGAGGAGAATCAGACGAAATCTGAATTGGGGAAGAAGAGAAGAATGAGAATCACACGAAATTCCGAATTGGGGGAAGTCGAAATAGTGAGAAGAGTGAGAATCATACGAAATCTCCGAATTGGGGGGAGGTCGGGGAAGAAGAGGAGAATCATACGAAATCTGAATTGGGGAAGGGAGAGAAGAGTGAGAATCATACGAAAAGAATTGGGGAAGAGAAGAAGAGGAATCATACGAAATCTGAATTGGGGAAGTCGGGTGAAGAGGAGAATCATACGAAATTTGAATTGGGGAAGTCGGGTGAGAAGAGGAGAAAAAGTGACGAAATTGGGGAAATCAGGGAAGAAGAGAAGACATAACAAATTGGGGGAAGAAAGAGGAGAATCATACGAAATTCTGAATTGGGGAAGTCGTAGAGAAGAGGAGAATCATACGAAATCTGAATTGGGGGAAGAGAGAGAGAATCATACGAAATCTGAATTGGGGGAAGTCGGGTGAGAAGAGTGAGAATCATACGAAATTCCGAATTGGGGAAGTCGGGGAAGAAGAGTGAGAATCAAAATCCGGAATTGAAAGTTCCGAAGAAGAGAGAATCATACGAAATTGCGAATTGGGGGAAGTAGGAAGAGAAGAATCATACGAAATTCCGAATTGGGGAAGTCGGGGAAGAAGAGAGAGAATCATACGAAATTCCGAATTGGGGGAAGTCGGGGAAGAAGAGGAGAATCAGAATGAAATCCCCGAATTGGGGGAAGTCGGGGAAGAAGAGTTAGAATCATAAATTCCGAATTGGGGGAAGTCGAAAGAAGAGTGAGAATCATACGAAATTCCGAATTGGGGGAAGTCGGGGAGAAGAAGAGGAGAATCAAACGAAATTCCGAATTGGGGAAGTCGGGGAAGAAGAGGAGAATCATACGAAATTCCCAATTGGGGAAGTCGGGAAGAGAGAGGAGAATCATACGAAATTCCGAATTGGGGGAAGTCGAATTGGGGGAGAAGAGGAGAATCATACGAAATTCTGAATTGGGGGAAGTAATCTGGGGGGAAGAAGAGAGAGAATCAATAATAAATCTGAATTGGGGGAAGTCGGGGAAGAAGAGGAGAATCATACGAAATTTCGAATTGGGGAAGTCATAAGAAGAGTGAGAATCAAACGAAATCTGAATTGGGGAAGTCGGGGAAGAAGAGAGAATCATACGAAATCTGAATTGGGGAAGTCATAACAAGAGTGAGAATCATACGAAATTCCCAATTGGGGAAGTCAGGGAGAAGAGTGAGAATCATACGAAATAGGAATTGGGGGAAGTAAAGAAGAGAAGAGAAAAATCATAATTGGGGAATTCGAAGAAGAGAGAATCACATAAATCCTGAATTGGGGGGAAGAAGAGTGAGAATCATACGAAATCTGAATTGGGGGGAAGTCGGGGAAGAAGAGAGAATCATACGAAATTCGAATTGGGGGAAGTCGACATAAGAAGAGGGAGAATCATACGAAATTCCGAATTGGGGGAAGTCGGGAAGAAGAGTGAGAATCATAAGAAATTCTGAATTGGGGGAAGTCGGGAAGAAGAGGAGAATCATACGAAATAAATCTGAATTGGGGGAACACGAAGAAGAAGAGGAGAATCATACGAAATCCCGAATTGGGGGAAGTCGGGGAAGAAGAGGAGAATCATAAAAATTCCGAATTGGGGAAGTCGGGGAAGAAGAGGAGAATCATACGAAAAGAAGAATTGGGGGAAGTCGGGGAAGAAGAGAGAGAATCACATGAAATTCCGAATTGGGGAAGTCGGGTGAAGAAAGAGAAATACGAAATTCAATTGGGGGAAGTCGGGAAGAAGAGGAGAATTAACGAAATTGAATTGGGGAAGTCGGGTGAAGAAGAGGAGAATCATACGAAATCAATTGGGGAAGTCGGGAAGAAGAGTGAGAATCACATGAAATTCCGAATTGGGGAAGTCATACGAGAGAAGAGAGAATCAGAACGAAATAACAATTGGGGAAGAAGAAGAAAGAGGAGAATCACACGAAATTCCGAATTGGAAGTCATAAGAAGAGGAGAATCATACGAAATTCCGAATTGGGGGGGGAGTCGGGTGAAGAGAGAATCATACGAAATCCCGAATTGGGGGAAGTCGGGAAGAAGAGGAGAATCATACGAAATCAAATTGGGGGAAGTCGGGGAGAAGAGTGAGAATCATACGAAATCTGAATTGGGGGAAGTCGGGAGAAGAGGAGAATCATACGAAATTCCGAATTGGGGGAAGTCGGGGGAGAAGAGTGAGAATCATACGAAATCTGAATTGGGGGAAGTCGGGGAGAATCATACGAAGAGGAGAATCATACGAAATTCCGAATTGGGGGAAGTCGGGAGAAGAGTGAGAATCAAACGAAATCTGAATTGGGGGAAGTCGGGAAGAAGAGTGAGAATCATACGAAATTCGAATTGGGGAAGTCGGGTGAAGAAGAGGAGAATCATACGAAATTCCGAATTGGGGGAAGTCGGGGAGAAGAGGAGAATCATACGAAATTCCGAATTGGGGGAAGTCAAGAAGAAGGGAGAAGAAATTCCAAATGGGGAGTGAGAAGAGGAGAATTACAAATTCCAATTGGGGAAGTCGGGGAAGAAGAGTGAGAATCATACGAAATTCCAATTGGGGGAAGTCGGGGAAGAAGAGTGAGAATCATACGAAATTCCCAATTGGGGAAGTAGGGAAGAAGAGAGAGAATCATACGAAATCTGAATTGGGGGGGAAGTCGGGTGAAAGAGGAGAATCATACGAAATTCCCAATTGGGGAAGTCGGGTGAGAAGAGGAGAATCATACGAAATCATGAATTGGGGGAAGTCGGGTGAGAAGAGTGAGAATCATACGAAAAGTGAATTGGGGGGAAGTCAAAGAAGAGGAGAATCATACGAAATTCCGAATTGAGAGAAGAAGAAATTCGAATCGAAAATCATACGAATAGGGGGAAGTGAAGAAGAGGAGAATCATACGAAATTCGAATTGGGGAAGACATTGAGAAGAGAAGAGAATCATAGAAATCCAAATTGGGGAAGTCGGGAAAGAAGAGGAGAATCATACGAAATCAGAATTGGGGGAAGTCGGGGAAGAAGAGGAGAATCATACGAAATTCCGAATTGGGGGAAGTCGGTGAGAAGAGGAGAATCATACGAAATTCCGAATTGGGGGAAGTCGGGTGAGAAGAGGAGAATCATACGAAATAGAATTGGGGAAAGTCGGGGGAGAAGAGTGAGAATCATACGAAATTCCGAATTAAAGTCGGGGAAGAAGAGGAGAATCATACGAAATTCTCAATTGGGGGAAGTAACAAAGAAGAGTGAGAATCATACGAAATTCCGAATTGGGGAAGTCAAGGAGAAGAGGAGAATCAAACGAAATTCCGAATTGGGGGAAGTCGGGGAAGAAGAGTGAGAATCATACGAAATCTGAATTGGGGAAGTCGGGGGAAGAGTGAGAATCATACGAAATTCCGAATTGGGGGAAGTCGGGGAAGAAGAGGAGAATCATACGAAATTCCGAATTGGGGAAGTCGGAGAAGAAGAGTGAGAATCATATAACAAATCTGAATTGGGGAAGTCATAAAGAAGAGGAGAATCATACGAAATTCCGAATTGGGGGAAGTCAGGGAGAAGAGGAGAATCATACGAAATTCCAGAAGTTGGGTGAGAATAACAAATTCATGGAAGAAGAAGAGGAGAATCACACGAAATTCACATTGGGGGAAGTCGGGAAGAAGAGTGAGAATCATACGAAATTCCGAATTGGGGGAAGTCGGGGAAGAAGAGGAGAATCATACGAAATCATCCGAATTGGGGGAAGACGGGGAAGAAGAGGAGAATCATACGAAATTCCGAATTGGGGAAGTCGGGGAAGAAGAGGAGAATCAAACGAAATTCCGAATTGGGGAAAGTCGGGAGAAGAAGAAATAGAATCACACGAAATTCCGAATTGGGGAAGTCAAGGAGAAGAGGAGAATCATACGAAATTCCGAATTGGGGAAGTCGGGGAAGAAGAGTGAGAATCATAACAAATTCCGAATTGGGGAAGTCATAAGAAGAGGAGAATCATACGAAATTCCGAATTGTGGGAAGTCGGGTGAGAAGAGTGAGAATCATACGAAATTCCGAATTGGGGAAGTAGGGAAGAAGAAGAGGAGAATCATACGAAATCTGAATTGGGGAAGTCGGTGATAAGAGTGAGAATCATACGAAATTCCGAATTGGGGGAAGTCGAAGAAGAGTGAGAATCATACGAAATCCGATTGGGGAAGTCGGGAAGAAGAGAGAATCATACGAAATCTGAATTGGGGAAGTCGGAAAGAAAAGGAGAATCATACGAAATTCCGGAAGAAGAGAAGAAGAGACAGAACACATGGAAATTCCGAATTGGGGAAGTCATAAAGATAGAAGAAAAGGAGAATTGGGGGGAAGTCGGGAAGAAGAGGAGAATCATACGAAATTCAAATTGGGGAAGTCGGGAAGAAGAGGAGAATCATACGAAAAGAATTGGGGGAAGACATAACAAAGAAAGAGGAGAATCATACGAAATTCCCAATTGGGGAAGAAGGGGAAGAAGAGAAACATACGAAATTCATAAACATGGGGAAGTCGGGGAAGAAGAGGAGAATCATACGAAATTCCGAATTGGGGGGAAGTCAACAAATAAGAGGAGAATCAGACGAAATAACAAATTGGGGGAAGTCGGGGGAGAAGAGGAGAGAACACATGGAAATCTGAATTGGGGGAAGTCGGGTGAGAAGAGGAGAATCATACGAAATCTGAATTGGGGAAGTCAGGGAGAAGAGGAGAATCATAGGGAAGAAATTCCGAATTGGGGGAAGTCAAAGAAGAGTGAGAATCATACGAAATTTGAATTGGGGGAAGTCACATGGAGAGAAGAGGAGAATCATACGAAATTCCGAATTGGGGAAGTCGGAGAAGAAGAGAGAATCATACGAAATTCCGAATTGGGGGAAGTCGGAAGAAGAGGAGAATCATACGAAATCCGAATTGGGGGAAGTCGGGGAAGAAGAGTGAGAATCATACGAAATTCCGAATTGGGGAAGTCAGAAAGAAGAGGAGAATCATACGAAATTCCGAATTGGGGGAAGTCGGGAAGAAGAGGAGAATCATACGAAATCTGAATTGGGGGAAGTCGGAAGAAGAGGAGAATCAAACGAAATTCCCCAATTGGGGAAGTCGGGGTGAGAGGAGAATCATACGAAATCTGAATTGGGGGAAGTCGGGAGAAGAGTGAGAATCATACGAAATTCCGAATTGGGGAAGTCAGGAGAAGAGGAGAATCATACGAAATCTGAATTGGGGGAAGTCGGGTGAGAAGAGGAGAATCATACGAAATTCCGAATTGGGGGAAGTCGGGTGAGAAGAGGAGAATCATACGAAATCTGGAATTGGGGAAGTCGGGTGAGAAGAGTGAGAATCATACGAAATCTGAATTGGGGAAGTCGGGGAAGAAGAGTGAGAATCATACGAAATTCCGAATTGGGGGAAGTCGGGGAAGAAGAGTGAGAATCATACGAAATTCCGAATTGGGGGAAGTCGGGGAAGAAGAGTGAGAATCATACGAAATTCCGAATTGGGGGAAGTCGGGGAAGAAGAGAATCAACGAAATTCCGAATTGGGGAAGTCGGGGAAGAAGAGGAAATCACGAAATCGGAATTGGGGAAGTCGGGGAAGAAGAGGAGAATCATACGAAATTCTGAATTGGGGGAAGTCGGGGAAGAAGAGGAGAATCATAATGAAATTCCGAATTGGGGGAAGTCGGGAAGAAGAGAATCATACGAAATTCTGAATTGGGGGAAGTCGGGGAAGAAGAGAGAATCATACGAAATTCCGAATTGGGGGAAGTCGGGGAGAAGAGGAGAATCATACGAAATTCCGAATTGGGGGAAGTCGGGAGAAGAGGAGAATCATACGAAATTCCGAATTGGGGGTCGGGTGAGAAGAGGAGAATCATACGAAATTCGAATTGGGGGAAGTCAAGGAGAAGAGTGAGAATCATACGAAATTCGAATTGGGGAAGTCGGTGAGAAGAGGAGAATCATACGAAATTCCGAATTGGGGAAGTCGGGAAGAAGAGGAGAATCATACGAAATTCCGAATTGGGGGAAGTCGGGGAAGAAGAGGAGAATCACACGAAATTCCGAATTGGGAAGTCGGGTGAGAAGAGGAGAATCATACGAAATTCGGGGAAGTGGGGAAGAAGAGTGAGAATCATACGGGGGGGAAGAGAAGATTGAGAATCATACGAAATTGAATTGGGGGAAGTCGGGGGAGAAGAGTGAGAATCATAAGAAATTTGAATTGGGGAAGTCGGGGGAGAAGAGGAAATTCACGAAATGGGGGAAGTCAGAGAAGAGGAGAATCATACGAAATTCCGAATTGGGGGAAGTCGGGGAAGAAGAGGAGAATCATACGAAATCTGAATTGGGGAAGTCGGGTGAAGAGGAGAATCATACGAAATCAATTGGGGGGAAGTCGAAGAAGAGGAGAATCATACGAAATTGGGGGGAAGTCGGGGAAGAAGAGGAGAATCATACGAAATTCCCAATTGGGGGGAAGTCGGGGTGAAGAGGAGAATCAACGAAATCCGAATTGGGGGAAGTCGGGAGAAGAGGAGAATCAAACGAAATTCTGAATTGGGGGAAGTCGGGAGAAGATTGAGAATCAGAATCAACACGAAATCCGAATTGGGAATCATAAGAAATTCCGAATTGGAGAGAAGAGTGAGAATCATACGAAATTCCGAATTGGGGAAGCCGGTGAGAAGAGGAGAATCATACGAAATTCCGAATTGGGGGAAGTCGGGGTGAGAAGAGGAGAATCATACGAAATCTGAATTGGGGGAAGTCGTGAGAAGAGTGAGAATCATACGAAATCTGAATTGGGGGAAGTCGGAGAAGAAGAGGAGAATCATACGAAATTCCGAATTGGGGGAAGTCGGGGAAGAAGAGGAGAATCATATGAAATCTGAATTGGGGAAGCCGGGAAGAAGAGTGAGAATCATACGAAATCTGAATTGGGGAAGTCGGGTAAGAAGAGGAGAATCATACGAAATCTGAATTGGGGAAGTCGAGGAGAAGAGGAGAATCATACGAAATCTGAATTGGGGAAGTCGGGGAGAAGAGGAGAATCATACGAAATCTCCGAATTGGGGGAAGTCGGGGAAGAAGAGGAGAATCATACGAAATCTGGAATTGGGGAAGTCGGGAAGAAGAGTGAGAATCAAACGAAATCTCCGAATTGGGGGGGGGAAGTCGGGGAAGAAGAGTGAGAATCATACGAAATTCGAATTGGGGGAGTCGGGTGAGAAGAGAAGAGAATTGAGAATCATACGAAATCATACGAAATTGGGGGAAGTCGGGGAAGAAGAGGAGAATCATACGAAATCTGAATTGGGGGAAGTCGGGGAGAAGAGTGAGAATCATACGAAATTCCGAATTGGGGAAAGTCGGGGGAGAAGAGGAGAATCATACGAAATTCCGAATTGGGGAAGTCAGGGAAGAAGAGAGAATCACACGAAATTCCGAATTGGGGAAGAATCACGAAATTCCGAATTGGGGGAAGAGGAGAATCATACGAAATTCCGAATTGGGGGAAGTCGGGGAAGAAGAGTGAGAATCATACGAAATTCCAATTGGGGGGAAGTCGGGGAAGAAGAGGGAATCATACGAAATTCCGAATTGGGGAAGTCGGGGAGAAGAGGAGAATCATACGAAATTTCGAATTGGGGGAAGTCGGGGGAGAAGAGTGAGAATCATACGAAATTCCGAATTGGGGGAAGTCGGGGAGAAGAGGAGAATCATACGAAATCTGAATTGGGGGAAGCCGAGAGAAGAGGAGAATCATACGAAATCCCTGAATTGGGGAAGTCAGGAGAGAAGAGGAGAATCATACGAAATCTGAATTGGGGGAAGTCGGGTGAGAAGAGGAGAATCATACGAAATCCGAATTGGGGGAAGTCGGGGAGAAGAGGAGAATCATACGAAATTCTGAATTGAACAGGAAGTCGGTGAGAAGAGAGGAAATCATACGAAATTCCAATTGGGGGAAGTCGGGGAGAAGAGGAGAATCATACGAAATTCCGAATTGGGGAAGTCGGGTGAGAAGAGTGAGAATCATACGAAATTCCGAATTGGGGAAGTCGGGTGAGAAGAGGAGAATCATACGAAATTCCCAATTGAGAATCAAGAGGAGAATCATACGAAAATGGGAATTGGGGGAAGTCGGAAGAAGAGGAGAATCATACGAAATTCCGAATTGGGGAAGTCGGTGAGAAGAGTGAGAATCATACGAAATTCCGAATTGGGGGAAGTCGGGGAAGAAGAGGAGAATCATACGAAATTCCCAATTGGGGAAGTCGGGTGAGAAGAGGAGAATCATACGAAATTCTAATTGGGGGAAGTCGGGGAAGAAGAGGAGAATCATACGAAATTCCGAATTGGGGGAAGTCGGGGAAGAAGAGGAGAATCATACGAAATCTGAATTGGGGGGAAGTCGGGGAGAAGAGGAGAATCATACGAAATCTGAATTGGGGAAGTCGGGAGAAGAGGAGAATCACACGAAATTCCGAATTGGGGAAGTCGGGGAAGAAGAGGAGAATCATACGAAATTCCGAATTGGGGGAAGTCGGGAAGAAGAGTGAGAATCATACGAAATTCCCAATTGGGGAAGTCGGGAAGAAGAGGAGAATCATACGAAATCTGAATTGGGGAAGTCGGGAAGAGAAGAGGAGAATCATACGAAATCTGAATTGGGGGAAGTCGGGGAAGAAGAGGAGAATCATACGAAATTCGAATTGGGGGAGAAGTCGGGGAAGAAGAGTGAGAATCATACGAAATCTGAATTGGGGAAGTCGGGAAGAAGAGGAGAATCATACGAAATTCCGAATTGGGGGGAAGTCGGGTGAGAAGAGGAGAATCATACGAAATTCCGAATTGGGGAAGTCGGGGTGAGAAGAGGAGAATCATACGAAATCCGAATTGGGGGGGAAGTCGGGGTGAGAAGAGGAGAATCATACGAAATCCGAATTGGGGGAAGTCGGGGTGAGAAGAGGAGAATCATACGAAATCTGAATTGGGGGAAGTCGTGAGAGAAGAGGAGAATCATACGAAATCTGAATTGGGGGAAGTCGGGTGAGAAGAGGAGAATCATACGAAATTCCGAATTGGGGAAGTCGAATTGGGGAAGAAGAGTGAGAATCATACGAAATTCCGAATTGGGGGAAGTCGGGTGAGAAGAAGAATCAGAAATTCCGAATTGAAAGTCATACGAAAGAATCATACGAAATTGGGAAGTCGGGTGAGAAGAGGAGAATCATACGAAATCCGAATTGGGGGAAGTCGGGGAAGAAGAGGAGAATCATACGAAATCTGAATTGGGGAAGTCGGGGAAGAAGAGGAGAATCATACGAAATTCCGAATTGGGGGAAGTCGGGGGAAGAAGAGGAGAATCATACGAAATTCCGAATTGAGGGAAGTCGAAGAAGAGGAGAATCATACGAAATAATTGGGGGAAGTCGAAAAGAAAGATTGAGAATCACACGAAATTCAATTGGGGAAGAAGGAAGAAGAATCATACGAAATCTGAATTGGGGGAAGTCGGGAAGAAGAGGAGAATCATACGAAATCTGGAATTGGGGGAAGTCGGGGAGAAGAGGAGAAAATCATACGAAATTCACGAATTGGGGGAAGTCGGGGAGAAGAGGAGAATCATACGAAATCTGAATTGGGGGAAGTCGGGTGAGAAGAGGAGAATCATACGAAATTCCGAATTGGGGGAAGTCGGGTGAGAAGAGTGAGAATCATACGAAATTCCGAATTGGGGGAAGTCGGGTGAGAAGAGTGAGAATCATACGAAATTCCGAATTGGGGGAAGTCGGGGGAAGAAGAGGAGAATCATACGAAATCTGAATTGGGGGAAGTCGGGGAAGAAGAAGAAATGAGAAGAAGAATCATACGAAATCTGAATTGGGGGAAGTCGGGGAGAAGAGGAGAATCATACGAAATTCCGAATTGGGGGAAGTCGGGTGAGAAGAGGAGAATCATACGAAATTCCGAATTGGGGGAAGTCGGTGAGAAGAGGAGAATCATACGAAATTCTGAATTGGGGGAAGTCGGGGAAGAAGAGGAGAATCATACGAAATCTGAATTGGGGGAAGTCGGGGTGAGAAGAGTGAGAATCATACGAAATTCCGAATTGGGGGAAGTCGGGTGAGAAGAGGAGAATCACACGAAATTCGAATTGGGGGAAGTCGGGGAAGAAGAGGAGAATCATACGAAATCCGAATTGGGGAAAGTCGGGGAAGAAGAGTGAGAATCATACGAAATTCCGAATTGGGGAAGTCGGGGGAGAAGAGAGAATCATACGAAATTCCGAATTGGGGAAGTCGGGGTGAAGAGGAGAATCATACGAAATTCCGAATTGGGGAAGTCGGGGAGAAGAGGAGAATCATACGAAATCTGAATTGGGGGAAGTCGGGAAGAGAAGAGTGAGAATCATACGAAATCCCAATTGGGGGAAGTCGGGGAAGAAGAGGAGAATCATACGAAATCCCAATTGGGGGGAAGTCGGGTGAGAAGAGGAGAATCATACGAAATTCCGAATTGGGGGAAGTCGGGGGAAGAAGAGTGAGAATCATACGAAATTCCGAATTGGGGGAAGTCGGGGAGAAGAGTGAGAATCATACGAAATCTGAATTGGGGGAAGTCGGGAAGAAGAGGAGAATCATACGAAATCTGAATTGGGGGAAGTCGGGGAGAAGAGGAGAATCATACGAAATTGAATTGGGGGAAGTCGGGTGAGAAGAGGAGAATCATACGAAATTCTGAATTGGGGGAAGTCGGGTGAGAAGAGGAGAATCATACGAAATCCGAATTGGGGGAAGTCGGGAAGAAGAGAACTGAGAAGAGGAGAATCATACGAAATCTGAATTGGGGGAAGTCGGGTGAGAAGAGTGAGAATCATACGAAATCCGAATTGGGGGAAGTCGGGGAAGAAGAGGAGAATCATACGAAATCTGAATTGGGGGAAGTCGGGGAAGAAGAGGAGAATCATACGAAATCTGAATTGGGGGGAAGTCGGGGAAGAAGAGGAGAATCATACGAAATTCCGAATTGGGGGAAGTCGGGGAGAAGAGGAGAATCATACGAAATTCCGAATTGGGGGAAGTCGGGGAAGAAGAGGAGAATCATACGAAATTCCGAATTGAATTGGGGAGAATCATACGTCGGGGGGGAAGAGTGAGAATCATACGAAATTCCGAATTGGGGGAAGTCGGGTGAGAAGAGTGAGAATCATACGAAATTCCGAATTGGGGGAAGTCGGGTGTGAAGAGTGAGAATCATACGAAATTCCGAATTGGGGGAAGTCGGGAAGAAGAGTGAGAATCATACGAAATTCCGAATTGGGGGAAGTCGGGGAAGAGGAGAATCATACGAAATTGAATTGGGGAAGTCGGGGAGAAGAGGAGAATCATACGAAATTCCGAATTGGGGGAAGTCGGGTGAGAAGAGGAGAATCATACGAAATTCCGAATTGGGGGAAGTCGGTGAGAAGAGTGAGAATCATACGAAATCTGAATTGGGGAAGTCGTGGTGAGAAGAGTGAGAATCATACGAAATTCCGAATTGAGGGAAGTCGGGTGAGAAGAGTGAGAATCATACGAAATCCGGATTGGGTGAAGTCGGGTGAGAAGAGTGAGAATCATACGAAATTCCGAATTGGGGGAAGTCGGAGAAGAAGAGTGAGAATCATACGAAATTCCGAATTGGGGGAAGTCGGGGAAGAAGAGTGAGAATCATACGAAATTCCGAATTGGGGGAAGTCGGGGAAGAAGAGTGAGAATCATACGAAATCTGAATTGGGGAAGTCGGGGAAGAAGGGAGAAGAATACGAAATCTGAATTGGGGAAGTCAAAAGAAGAATCATACGAAATTCAGAATTGGGGGAAGTCGGGGAAGAAGAGGAAATCATACGAAATTCTGAATTGGGGGAAGTCGGGGAAGAAGAGGAGAATCATACGAAATTCCGAATTGGGGGAAGTCGGGGAGAAGAGGAGAATCATACGAAATTCCGAATTGGGGGAAGTCGGGGTGAGAAGAGTGAGAATCATACGAAATCCCAATTGGGGGAAGTCGGGTGAGAAGAGGAGAATCATACGAAATTCCGAATTGGGGGAAGTCGGAAGAAGAGTGAGAATCATACGAAATTCCGAATTGGGGGGAAGTCGGGTGAGAAGAGGAGAATCATACGAAATTCCGAATTGGGGGAAGTCGGGGAGAAGAGGAGAATCATACGAAATTCCGAATTGGGGGAAGTCGGGGGAAGAAGAGTGAGAATCATACGAAATTCCGAATTGGGGGAAGTCGGGTGAGAAGAGGAGAATCATACGAAATTCCGAATTGGGGAAGTCGGGGAAGAAGAGGAGAATCATACACGAAATCTGAATTGGGGGAAGTCGGGGGAGAAGAGTGAGAAGGAGAATCATACGAAATTCCGAATTGGGGGAAGTCGGGTGAGAAGAGGAGAATCATACGAAATTCCCAATTGGGGAAGTCGGGAAGAAGAGGAGAATCATACGAAATTCTGAATTGGGGGAAGTCGGGTGAGAAGAGGAGAATCATACGAAATCTGAATTGGGGGAAGTCGGGGGAGAAGAGGAGAATCACACGAAATTCCGAATTGGGGAAGTCAAGAGAAGAGGAGAATCATACGAAATTCCCCAATTGAGAAGAGGAGAATCATACGAAATTCCGAATTGAAGAAGAGGAGAATCATACGAAATTCCGAATTGGGGAAGTCGGGAAGAAGAGGAGAATCATACGAAATCTGAATTGGGGAAGTCGGGAAAAGAGTGAGAATCATACGAAATCTGGGGGAATTGGGGAAGTCGAATTGGGAAGAAGAGGAGAAATCATACGAAATCTGAATTGGGGGAAGAATCATACGAAATGAAGAAGAGGGAGAATCATACGAAATCTGAATTGGGGGAAGTCGGGGAGAAGAGGAGAATCATACGAAATCTGAATTGGGGGAAGTCGGGGAAGAAGAGGAGAAATCATACGAAATTCTGAATTGGGGGAAGTCGGGGAAGAAGAGTGAGAATCATACGAAATTCCGAATTGGGGAAGTCGGGGAAGAAGAGGAGAATCATACGAAATTCCGAATTGGGGGAAGTCGGGGAAGAAGAGGAGAATCATACGAAATTCCGAATTGGGGAAGTCGGGGAAGAAGAGGAGAATCATACGAAATTCCGAATTGGGGGAAGTCGGAGAAGAGAGAATCATACGAAATTCCGAATTGGGGGAAGTCGGGTGTGAAGAGTGAGAATCATACGAAATTCCGAATTGGGGGAAGTCGTGGTGAGAAGAGTGAGAATCATACGAAATTCCGAATTGGGGGAAGTCGGGTGAGAAGAGTGAGAATCATACGAAATTCCGAATTGGGGGAAGTCGGGTGAGAAGAGTGAGAATCATACGAAATTCCGAATTGGGGGAAGTCGGGTGAGAAGAGTGAGAATCATACGAAATTCCGAATTGGGGGAAGTCGGGGAAGAAGAGTGAGAATCATACGAAATTCCGAATTGGGGAAGTCGGGTGAGAAGAGTGAGAATCATACGAAATTCCGAATTGGGGGAAGTCGGGAAGAAGAGTGAGAATCATACGAAATTCCGAATTGGGGGAAGTCAGGGAGAAGAGAGAGAATCATACGAAATTCCGAATTGGGGGAAGTCGGGGAAGAAGAGGAGAATCATAAATCGAATTGGGGAATTCGAGAAGGGAGAAGTACGAAATCCGAATTGACAAGAAGAGAGAATCATACGAAATTCCGAATTGGGGGAAGTCGGGGAAGAAGAGTGAGAATCATACGAAATTCCGAATTGGGGGAAGTCGGGAAGAAGAGGAGAATCATACGAAATTCCGAATTGGGGGAAGTCAAGGAGAAGAGGAGAATCATACGAAATCTGAATTGGGGAAGTCGGGAAGAGAAATCATACGAAAATCCCAATGAGAAGTGTGAGGAGAATCATACGAAATTCCGAATTGGGGAAGTCGGAAGAGAAGAGGAGAATCATACGAAATTCCGAATTGGGGGAAGTCGGGTGAGAAGAGGAGAATCATACGAAATCTGAATTGGGGGAAGTCGGGGAGAAGAGTGAGAATCATACGAAATCCGAATTGGGGAAGTCGGGGAGAAGAGTGAGAATCATACGAAATCTGAATTGGGGGAAGTCGGGGAAGAAGAGTGAGAATCATACGAAATCTGAATTGGGGGAAGTCGGGGAAGAAGAGAGAGAATCATACGAAATTCCGAATTGGGGAAGTCGGGTGAGAAGAAATTCCCCAGTGGAGAAGAGTGAGAATCATACGAAATCTCCGAATTGGGGAAGTCGGGAAGAAGAGGAGAATCATACGAAATTCCGAATTGGGGAAGTCGGGGAAGAAGAGGAGAATCATACGAAATCTGAATTGGGGGAAGTCGGGGAAAGAGGAGAATCATACGAAATTCCGAATTGGGGGAAGTCGGGGAGAAGAGGAGAATCATACGAAATTCCGAATTGGGGAAGAAATTCGGGGAAGAAGAGGAGAATCATACGAAATCTGAATTGGGGAAGTCGGGAAGAAGAGGAGAATCATACGAAATTCCGAATTGGGGAAGTCGGGGAGAAGAGGAGAATCATACGAAATCTGAATTGGGGGAAGTCGGGGGAGAAGAGTGAGAATCATACGAAATCCGAATTGGGGGAAGTCGGGGGAGAAGAGGAGAATCATACGAAATTCCGAATTGGGGGAAGTCGGGAGAAAGAAGAATCATACGAAATTCCGAATTGAATCAAGTCGGGGAGAGTGAAATATACGAAATCTGAATTGGGGGAAGTCGGGGAGAAGAGTGAGAATCATACGAAATTCCGAATTGGGGGAAGTCGGGAGAAGAGGAGAATCATACGAAATTCCGAATTGGGGAAGTCGGGGCAGAAGAGGAGAATCATACGAAATTCCGAATTGGGGGAAGTCGGGGAGAAGAGGAGAATCATACGAAATTCCGAATTGGGGGAAGTCGGGGAGAAGATTGAGAATCATACGAAATCATACGAAATTCCGAATTGGGGGAAGTCGGGGAGAAGAGTGAGAATCATACGAAATTTCGAATTGGGGAAGTCGGGGAGAAGAGGAAATCATACGAAATTCCGAATTGGGGGAAGTCGGGGAGAAGAGGAGAATCATACGAAATTCCGAATTGGGGGAAGTCGGGGAGAAGAGAAGAGAGAATCATACGAAATTCCGAATTGGGGGAAGTCGGGGAGAAGAGGAGAATCATACGAAATCTGAATTGGGGGGAAAGTCGAGAATCATACGAAATTTGAATTGAGGAAGGAGAAGAGGAGAATCATACGAAATTCCGAATTGGGGGAAGTCGGGGAGAAGAGGAGAATCATACGAAATTCTGAATTGGGGGAAGTCGGGGGAAGAAGAGGAGAATCATACGAAATTCCGAATTGGGGGAAGTCGGGGAGAAGAGTGAGAATCATACGAAATTCTGAATTGGGGAAGTCGGGGAGAAGAGGAGAATCATACGAAATTCCGAATTGGGGGAAGTCGGGGAGAAGGGAATCATACGAAATCTGAATTGGGAAAGTCGGGGAAGAAGAGAGAATCATACGAAATCTGAATTGGGGGAAGTCGGGGAAGAAGAGTGAGAATCATAATCAATTGAAATTCCGAATTGGGGAAGTCGGGGAAGAAGAGGAGAATCATACGAAATTCCGAATTGGGGAAGTCGGGGAAGAAGAGAGAATCATACGAAATCTGAATTGGGGAAGTCGGGAAGAAGAGGAGAATCATACGAAATTCCCAATTGGGGAAGTCGGGGAGAAGAGGAGAATCATACGAAATTCCGAATTGGGGAAGTCGGGAAGAAGAGGAGAATCATACGAAATTCCGAATTGGGGGAAGTCGGGGAAGAAGAGTGAGAATCATACGAAATTCCGAATTGGGGGAAGTCGGGTGAGAAGAGTGAGAATCATACGAAATTCCGAATTGGGGGAAGTCGGGGAAGAAGAGTGAGAATCATACGAAATTCCGAATTGGGGAAGTCGGGGAAGAAGAATTGAGAATCATACGAAATTCTGAATTGGGGGAAGTCGGGGAAGAAGAGGAGAATCATACGAAATTCCGAATTGGGGGAAGTCGGGGAGAAGAGGAGAATCATACGAAATTCTGAATTGGGGAAGTCGGGGAGAAGAGGAGAATCATACGAAATTCTGAATTGGGGGAAGTCGGAAGAAGAGAATTGAGAATCAATACGAAATCTGAATTGGGGAAGTCGGGTGAGAAGAGTGAGAATCATACGAAATTCCGAATTGGGGGAAGTCGGGTGAGAAGAGTGAGAATCATACGAAATTCCGAATTGGGGGAAGTCGGGGAGAAGAGGAGAATCATACACGAAATTCCGAATTGGGGGGGTCGGGTGAGAAGAGTGAGAATCATACGAAATTCTGAATTGGGGGAAGTCGGGGAAGAAGAGGAGAATCATACGAAATCTGAATTGGGGGAAGTCGGGAAGAAGAGGAGAATCATACGAAATTCCGAATTGGGGAAGTCGGGGAGAAGAGTGAGAATCATACGAAATTCCGAATTGGGGGAAGTCGGGGAGAAGAGGAGAATCATACGAAATTCTGAATTGGGGGAAGTCGGGAAGAAGAGTGAGAATCATACGAAATCTGAATTGGGGAAAGTCGGGGAAGAAGAGTGAGAATCATACGAAATTCCGAATTGGGGGAAGTCGGGGAAGAAGAGTGAGAATCATACGAAATCTGAATTGGGGAAGTCGGGGAAGAAGAGGAGAATCATACGAAATCTGAATTGGGGGGAAGTCGGGGAAGAAGAAGAGAATCATACGAAATCCGAATTGGGGGAAGTCGGGGAAGAAGAGAGAGAATCAGAACGAAATTCTGAATTGGGGAAGTCGGGGAAGAAGAGGAGAATCATACGAAATCTGAATTGGGGGAAGTCGGGTGAGAAGAGGAGAATCAAACGAAATCTGAATTGGGGAAGTCGGGTGAAGAAGAGGAGAATCATACGAAATTCTGAATTGGGGGAAGTCGGGTGAGAAGAGGAGAATCACACGAAATCTGAATTGGGGAAGTCGGGAAGAGAAGAGGAGAATCACGAAATCCGAATTGGGGGAAGTCGGGGAAGAAGAGGAGAATCATACGAAATCTGAATTGGGGAAGTCGGGTGAGAAGAGGAGAATCATACGAAATTCCGAATTGGGGGAAGTCGGGGAGAAGAGGAGAATCATACGAAATCCGAATTGGGGGAAGTCGGGTGAGAAGAGGAGAATCATACGAAATTCCGAATTGGGGGAAGTCGGGTGAGAAGAGGAGAATCATACAAATCTGAAATTCTGAATTGGGGAAGTCGGGAAGAAGAGTGAGAATCATACGAAATCTGAATTGGGGGGAAGTCGGGGAAGAAAGAGAGAGAATCATACGAAATCTGAATTGGGGGAAGTCGGGGAAGAAGAGGAGAATCATACGAAATTCCGAATTGGGGGAAGTCGGGAAGAAGAAGAATCATACGAAATGAATTGAATCATAAGAGGAGAATCATACGAAATCGAATTGGGGAAGTCGGGGAAGAAGAGGAGAATCATACGAAATTCCGAATTGGGGAAGTCGGGGAAGAAGAGTGAGAATCATACGAAATTCTGAATTGGGGGAAGTCGGGGAAGAAGAGGAGAATCATACGAAATTCCGAATTGGGGAAGTCGGGGGAGAAGAGGAGAATCATACGAAATTCCGAATTGGGGAAGTCGGGGTGAGAAGAGGAGAATCATACGAAATTCTGAATTGGGGAAGTCGGGGAAGAAGAGTGAGAATCATACGAAATTCCGAATTGGGGAAGTCGGGTGAGAAGAGGAGAAATCATACGAAATTCCGAATTGGGGAAGTCGGGTGAGAAGAGGAGAATCATACGAAATTCCGAATTGGGGAAGTCGGGGGAAAGAGAGAATCATACGAAATCTCCGAATTGGAGGAAGTCGGGGGAGAAGAGGAGAATCATACGAAATTCCGAATTGGGGGAAGTCGGGGAGAAGAGGAGAATCATAAGAAATTGAATTGGAGGAAGTCAGGGGAGAAGAGAATCATACGAAATCAATTGGGGGAAGTCGGGAGAAGAGTGAGAATCATACGAAATCTGAATTGGGGAAGTCAGGGGAGAAGAGGAGAATCATACGAAATTCCGAATTGGGGAAGTCGGGGGAGAAGAGGAGAATCATACGAAATTCCGAATTGGGGAAGTCGGGGAGAAGAGTGAGAATCATACGAAATTTGAATTGGGGAAGTCATACGAAATCTGAATTGAGAAGAGTGAGAATCATACGAAATTCTGAATTGGGGGAAGTCGGGGAGAAGAGGAGAATCAAGAAATTCTGAATTGGGGGAAGTCGGGGAGAAGAGTGAGAATACGAAATTCTGAATTGGGGGAAGTCGGGGAGAAGAGGAGAATCATACGAAATTCCGAATTGGGGGAAGTCGGGGAAGAAGAGTGAGAATCATACGAAATTCCGAATTGGGGGAAGTCGGGGAAGAAGAGTGAGAATCATACGAAATTCCGAATTGGGGGAAGTCGGGGAAGAAGAGTGAGAATCATACGAAATTCCGAATTGGGGGAAGTCGGGGAAGAAGAGGAGAATCATACGAAATTCCCAATTGGGGAAATCGGGGAAGAAGAGGAGAATCATACGAAATTCCGAATTGGGGGAAGTCGGGGAAGAAGAGGAGAATCATACGAAATCTGAATTGGGGAAGTCGGGAAGAAGAAGTGAGAATCATACGAAATCTGAATTGGGGAAGTCGGGAGAAGAGGAGAATCATACGAAATCTGAATTGGGGGAAGTCGGGGAAGAAGAGGAGAATCATACGAAATCTGAATTGGGGGAAGTCGGGGAGAAGAGGAGAATCATACGAAATTCCGAATTGGGGGAAGTCGGGGAAGAAGAGTGAGAATCATACGAAATTCCGAATTGGGTGAAGTCGAGTGAGAAGAGTGAGAATCATACGAAATTCCGAATTGGGGGAAGTCGGGTGTGAAGAGTGGGAATCATACGAAATTCCGAATTAAGGGAAGTCGGGGGACAAGAGTGAGAATCATACGAAATTCCGAATTGGAGGAAGTCAGGGGAGAAGATTGAGAATCATACGAAATTTCGAATTGGGAGAAGTCGGGGGAGAAGTGTGAGAATCATACGAAATTCCGAATTGGAGGAAGTCAGGGGAGAAGAGTGGGAATCATACGAAATTCCGAATTGGGGGAAATCGGGAGACAAGAGTGAGAATCATACGAAATTCCGAATTGGAGGAAGTCAGGGGAGAAGAGTGAGAATCATACGAAATTCCGAATTGGGGGAAGTCGGGTGAGAAGAGTGAGAATCATACGAAATTCCGAATTGGAGGAAGTCGGGGAGAAGAGTGAAAATCATACGAAATTTCGAATTGGTGGAAGTCGGGGGAGAAGAGTGTGAATCATACGAAATTCCGAATTGTGGGAAGTCGGGTGAGAAGAGTGGGAATCATACGAAATTCCGAATTGGGGGAAGTCGGGGGACAAGTGTGAGAATCATACGAAATTCCGAATTGGAGGAAGTCAGGGGAGAAGAGTGAGAATCATACGAAATTCCGAATTGGGGGGTGTCGGGGGAGAAGTGTGAGAATCATACGAAATTCCGAATTGGAGGAAGCCGGGGGAGAAGAGTGAGAATCATACGAAATTCCGAATTGAGGGAAGTCGGGTGAGTAGAGTGAGAATATTACGAAACTCCGAATTGGGCTAAGTCGGGGGAGAAGAGTGAGAATCATACGAACTTCCGAATTGGGGGAGGTCTTGGAAGAAGAGTGAGAATCATTCTAAATTCCGAATTGGGGGAAGTCGGGGGAGAAGTGTGAGAATCATACGAAATTCCGAATTGGGGGTAGTCGGGGGAGAAGAGTGAGAATCATACGAAATTCCGAATTGAGGAAAGTCGGGGAAGAAGAGTGTGAATATTACGAAATTCCGAATTGGGGGAAGTCGGGTGAGAAGAATGAGAATCATACGAAATTCCGAATTGGGGGAAGTCGGGGGAGAAGTGTGAGAATCATACGAAATTTCGAATTGGGGGAAGTCGGGTGAGAAGAGTGAGAATCATACGAAATTCCGAATTGGGGGAAGTCGGGGGAGAAGAGTGAGAATCATACGAAATTCCGAATTCCAGGAAGTCGGGGAAGAAGAGTGAGAATCATACGAAATTCCGAATCGGAGGAAGTCGGGGGAGAAGAGTGAGAATCATACGAAATTCCGAATTGGGGGAAGTCGTGGTGAGAAGAGTGAGAATCATACGAAATTCCGAATTGGGGGAAGTCGGGGGAGACTCATACGAAATTCCGAATTGGGGGAAGTCGGGTGAGATGAGTGAGAATCATACGAAATTCCGAATTGAGGGAAGTCGGGTGAGAAGAGTGAGAATCATACGAAATTCCGAATTGGGGGAAGTCGGGGAAGAAGAGTGAGAATCATACGAAATTCCGAATTTGGGGAAGTCGGTGGAGAAGAGTAAGAATCATACGAAATTCCGAATTGGGTGAAGTCGGGTGAGAAGAGTGAGAATCATACGAAATTCCGAATTGGGGGATGTCGTGTGAGAAGAGTGTGAATCATACGAAATTCCGAATTGGGGGAAGTCGGTTGAGAAGAGTGAGAATCATACGAAATTCCGAACTGGTGGAATTGGGGAGGGTAGAATAGTGAAAATCATACGAAACACCGAGCTGGGAGTAGCGGAAGAGAAATTCATACGAAGCTCGGAGCTGGGAGAACGGAGGGAGAAAAGAGGGATTCATCCGCGTTTCCCAAAATATTTGTGCGAAAGTTAGCACAACGGACGGATGGACTTTGAACTCGACACGCCAATAAACTATGCTACGCGTAGATTCACACTTTCTTATAAATGCTAAAGAGAATTTAATCACGTGAACCAAAGTTTAGTAAATACTATAATAAAAAAAAAGAATCTATCTGAAACCTTGGAAATTCCATGGGTGTTGATAGCTAATATTATCAATTATCGTATGTTTTATGCTCCACTTTCATACATTTCCTGGATCTTCTCATTTTCATCCAATCTTTCTTACCTGCCCATACTTTTATCTAAATGTTATACCAACATGGATTAAGTTATTCTCGTTGACTATCTCTCTGTGCGAAATTTTAATGTCACATAATTTTGACGCCTTTCCAATAATATTTGCCTTTCAATCTTTCTTTTGACACCGAGCAAATAAAACTCTGCCTGTATATGGCTTCCTTTTCTCCCTATACCCCCCTCTCTCTTTTTATAAGTATATAAATATATTATTCCTTTCACCTAGTTTTCTTAGGTAATACTTTTCTCTTTCTTTCTTTTTTTCTCAGTTCATTCCCGCTTAATATTATTAAGTGTATTTCTCGGTCAGAAATCGAAAGTGACTTTAACTCAATCGGTGATCATACTGATACTCCATTATTCCTTGATATTACAGCTTAATGGTTATATAAACAAACAAGAAGAATCGGCCAAATAAAGACGCCGAATCCATATTAAATGGACGTGAATGCAAATTTAAAAGATGCACAAAGGACAAGATATTTATTAAGTGAAATTCACAAATCATTTGAACATTAGTGAGGAAAATCAAAACTGAATGAATTGTATCCCATTATATGTATAGTCGGCTTCTCTAGATAAAATTTGTCACTTAACTAATTGATGTTATATTCAATAATTCCACTCCGGAGTTTCGTAGACGAACCTTTGTGTGTTTTGTTCAGTCCAAGTGTCAGAAGATATGAGCAAATGCCTTCGAATTTTCTCGTTTTCGCTCAGTTTTTAAGTTAGAAAAATAATTTATTCGCCTTTTATATTGATGTTAGGTTGATTTTTTCTTGTTTGTGTGTATGTGCTCGCACGCTTGTGGTTGTGCGTATGTACACATCTGTAGGATGTCATGGTTACTTATTTTCATTATTTACTTCTCTTGATACTCTCACGTTATTCCCGGAATCAGAAACGACTTAAATTTAGGCTAATATTCCAGGATATTCTGGGATCTTCTAAAGTTTTTCAAAATAAAAGTGAACCTTTATTTCGCTCACTGGGATAGACTGTTCTAGTTCCACGTGCCATGTTTGATGGATGTCAGTTATCAGTTATCTCCTGCTAATTTCCCTCTGAAGGTTCTCCACTGCCTTAACCGGGTATTGAATTCACACTCTTTGGGTCCTGTCACTGGATCTAACCAACGCCTTTATGCACTGTGCCAAGGCAGTGGAGAACTTTCAGAGGGAAATTTGTCAGCTCATTTCTTAATTTAAAAAGAAAACTTTTTACAAAAGGTGATCTTTATTATTTCGAAAGTACACAACTATGGAGTTAGCAATTAGTTTTGCAGCTTTTAGCTCGAATAATTGCCTCTATTCGATGTTGAATTGAATGTAAGAAGGTTTTTCTCAGTCGGAT